GATGCAGATCCCAACGCGAGCGAGAGTCTCTCAAGCAAGCTTCTAATTCGTAGCTAGAGTTTCACTCTTATGAACTGGCAGCCAATTTGAGAGAATTTCGCTCGAGATCTAATGAAAAATCAGAACTCGGCCAAAAATTGCCCAAACAGGCTTGTAATTCGTAGCTATAGTATTGATCGTATGGATGTGTTGCCAATATTAGAGACTTTCGCTCGATGTCTGATATTGCATCAGACATCGAGCGAAAGTCACTCAAAACAGCTTAGACATGTCTATTTTGACGGCATTAAATGATTTCATAGGAAATGTCTCAGTTGTTAATTAAGTTCACGTGAGCTTTTATGAATGAAAATAAGTAAAAAAAAAGAATTTTCTCAAAAAAAATTGTGTACGCATTGAAATTTTTATCTATAAATTTAGATATGTCATCAATAATATAATATAATTTTAAATTCGTGGAGTACACTTGGGATAATTGAATATGGGCTACCCCATCCCAACCTCTCAAACTTCCTCTGAATTTGGACAAGGTATCCCAATCCCAAAGACCTATCTGAATAAAATGAAATAAGTATATTATATATATTATTTATTTGCTAATAATGAGCATAAATCGCTAAAATTATGAAGAAATTAAAAATTAAAAATTAAAATTAGAAAAAATGTTGATTTAATGAGAGAATATTGTATAAAAATAGAATTATTAGCTAAAATACGTATTAATTTTATGATATTTCAATCACATTAACGAAAATCGCCCATTTTTAATTCAAATGGGCGGGAAAAAAAAATAAAATTCCAAAAAAAAATTGAATTGGGGAAACGATAGGGGACGGGATATGAGAAACCCCATATGTTTGGGAATTTTTCGCATCACTACTTATGAGGTATACATCATAACTATATACCTCATAAGGAACAATTCCCTCTTGATAGCTGGGAAACTTTCTCTGAATAACTTATCATTTGGAGAAAGTTTCCCAGCTATCTATTAGAAACTAAAGGCTGTGAGGCACTAATATATAATCAGTGCCTCATAGCCTTTAGTTTCTTATTAAAAACGAGAAAACTTGTTCGAAATGATAAACAATTTCGAACAAGTTTTCTCGTTTTAAGGAGGGAATTGTTCCTTATGAGGTATACAGTATGAATATATACCTCATAAGGAACAATTCTTTCTTTAAATGGGAGAAACTTTGTCCGAATGTTAAACTATTCGGACAAAGTTCCTCCATTTGTAGTGGAGATGGAAGGCTTTGAGGTATATTATATTAATATGTACCCCAAAGCCTTCCATCTTTATTGTACAATTTAAAAATTCAGGAAAAATGTAATAAAATTTTTATAAAAATTAAGCGTTTATTCGTAATTGTGTATTCAATGGTTCGGTATTTCTTTGATTTCGAAGTGTCCATCAATCATAACTCTCCAAAATGGCGTTTCACCCTGTTTCCAATGTGGTGTCTCATTGTAACACTCTTCTGGAGTCATGGGGCGAAAACCCTTTTTGGGAAGGGTTTTATGTGGTACTGAGTTGTAATTTTTCCTGAATTTATCAAGAAATTCTTGAATTTGTTTTGCATTTGAAGACCGGCCGACATTTCTTTCAAGAGACGGCCAGAGCCTTTCAATCTTGCCGTTCTGGCGCGGCATATGAGGGAAAGTGTGGCGGATTTGAATGTTGTTTCGCATGAGCCAATTATAAAATTGGCCCATATTCTCTCCCCCGTTGTCGGACCAGAAACAAAATGGCTTTTGATATAAGCCAATCGTTTCTTCGGCAACTCTTGGTGTAGATTCGGAAGATTTATTTGGCAAAATTTTTAAAGCCAACAAAAACCGAGATTTATCGTCTATTATATCATAAACAGGTAACCTCTGTGAACCGTATAAAAAATGAACATCTACATGCCATATGGTATCAGGTTTTGTTGCTTCATATGGCGTATAATATTTTTGAGGGGGCCTGTCACTTTTTGGTTCTTTGATCTCCAAAATACTGTAAATTCTTCTGAGTTTATTGTAGGAAACTGAATAAACATTTTGATCCATGTTTAAACGCCAAAACATCTTTTGGATTCCGCACTTATATTCCTGAAATTTTTGGAGAACATATTGCAAATTTTCAGGAGTAATATCATCTGGTGCCGGACCAGGTTTAACGTTTGGGGGCGTTAAATTTGCATTTGTGTATGCTGCTTTAAGTGTGTTTTTCGAAATTGATCTAAATTCACACTTCATTTCATCCTCGTATGGAACTCGCTTACACGCAATTAAATAATTGAGTTCGCGAGATTCAAGTTTTTCGCGTGTTTGAATTAACCACCAAGAAGGAATGGTTGGTCTACTCATAATAAAAAATGAAAAGCCAAATTCTCTCAAAAAGTTAAGTAGGACCAATTTTTTATAAAAAAATCCAATTCCATTATGAATGTTAATTAATTTATATAATTATTGAATAAAAAATTTTCTTTGAGATTATAAAAAGTTCTTTGAAAAGTTATTTTTTCTCATTTTTAAATATTGTATTAGCCTATTTATTTATAATCCAAATTAAATAACTTTAAATTCAATATTTAAAGAATAATTTTGAAGGAATTGAGTTACTTTCCCCGACGATAAAATTGAGAGGTTTACATTTTCACCGAACTTAGCATGCAACAGAGTGTGGGACAAACTATCCAGTGTCACTTTTTATTAACCTTATTTTAAAAATTAATAAAATAATAATAAAAAATTATTTGAATCTTTTACATTAATTGTTTCTTTTTTAAAAGTACCTTTAAAGTACAATAAACAAGATTTGAATCTATTGATCCTTGTTGCAAACTTGAATATATTGCTTCAAGCATTTTTGAGAGTAGCCCATGCTAGCTTTTATCTCTTCTTGGATACCAAACTGGAGGAGCTCCATAGTGTTGAATATCACGGGCTCCATACAACAAATTGAATAAGGTATTTCAAAATTTGAAGGAAATGGTCCATCATTGAATGTAGTGGCCGGGAATTGAATGACATACAGATAGTTTGAGGAAATTTGTTATAAATTATAATATAATTGAAGAATTAATTATCAAAACAAGTCTAAGAGCCATTTGTCGGATTTTCCCGAAATGCAAGGTTAAGATTTTAGCAGCGACTAACTTTGAGTGTACATATATAATTGTTATACTGAGTACTTTCTATCTGTGTTACTTATTTGAGTCTAAGAGCCATTTGTCAGATTTTCCCGAAATGCAAGGTTAAGATTTTAGCAGCGACTAACTTTGAGTGTACATATATAATTGTTATACTGAGTACTTTCTATCTGTGTTACTTATTTGAGTCTAAGAGCCATTTGTCAGATTTTCCCGAAATGCAAGGTTAAGATTTTAGCAGCGACTAACTTTGAGTGTACATATATAATTGTTATACTGAGTACTTTCTATCTGTGTTACTTATTTGAGTCTAAGAGCCATTTGTCAGATTTTCCCGAAATGCAAGGTTAAGATTTTAGCAGCGACTAACTTTGAGTGTACATATATAATTGTTATACTGAGTACTTTCTATCTGTGTTACTTATTTGAGTCTAAGAGTCATTTCTACCATAGAACTAGATATTGTCTCTCATTAAATATATATAACTGTAAACTGCTTAATTCATTTATCTATTTAGATAAAATTATATTTATATAAGATTTCATGTTATTATTTCATCTTTATTATTTTTTTTATTCCTTTGAAAAGTGACACTGGATAGTTTGTCCCTTTCTCGCATGCAACATTTTGGCGCCAAAGTAATATTTTGATATTTCCAGTTTTAATCTTATATGTATAAATGTTTGATCTCTTTTTTCTTAAAAAATAGTTTTATCCAAAAAAAGTTTACAAATTAAAATGGAAAGATACCATTGGGAGATTATTTTTTGTCGCATATTTGCGCATATTATGACACTTTTTCTGACATTTTTCTATAAATTGAGAGCAAAAGTATTCAAAATTTTGTCAAAATATGCGCAAAATTGAGAACTGCGCATATTATGACACACAATTATTTTTGTCCGTTAATGGAAACAAAATCTCTATGCATTGCTTTTCTTCATGTCTTTCGCCTAAAGGTATGTTTAAAACAATATGTATGAGATACGTATTATAAAAGATTTGAAAAACTCACATATTATTATCAAATTTTCAAATTTTTATCGAGAAAATATTGAAATCAAGACGACAAAATATTGTTCATAACAAAATATTATAAAGATCTAGCATCTACAAGAGTTTCAAAGAAAAACAACCAACTTAAATTTTCTACTTCAAAAATAAGAACATCTTTCAAGTGTGACAAGCAAAAAAAGAATACATACGAATAGTTCAATTTGAAATGAATGATATGTTTATGTATAAGCTAGATTTACCTACATTCGATAATTGCTAAACGTTCATAACTTTGCGAGATATTAAAGAGAATTTATCGCTATTTACGTTATTTTCGACAATATATCAATATACGGCGATTGTTAAGTGAGTAACTGAGGAAAAAATAAAAGATTTGATTAATCTGAAGATCAAAAGAAGATAACAAGAGAAAAATATGAATAAATAAATGAATAATGAATAGAAAAAAGAAAGAAGAATATTGAAGATGATTAAATAAGTTATTATAGGAAAATTAAAAAATATTACTAAAATTAAAGATATCTGACATGTTTACATATCTAATAATAATATATTTGTCATTTAAATCTATTTTGAATCATAGTAAACTATGATTGCCGTATGATTTAAAAGAATCTCTAAATATCAAGTCAATTTCTTATAAAATTGTTATCCATCTCTTATATTTTTCATAATTACTACCTATATTATCAATCTCAACGATGACCATATCTTGTTATCAATATATTAAATTTAATTTATAACATAACATTCAATGTTTCCATCTATTCTTTCCATATATTAAATTCTAAAAACACTTTAACAATTGTTCAATAAACACAATATTTATAACATTTAAAAATATTTCAATTGAATACATCTGATTCATTTAATGTAAATTCTGTGATTTTTCCATCTTCATCATTTTCTAAGTTTATTTTAATTGAATCATTTATCTCTGAATCATTCCTGTTCATAAATTTCTCAATTTCAATATCACGATAATCAATATCTCCTGGATGAAATTGATTTTTGTATTTGTCAATTTCTTCTTTTGGTATTTCTGAAATTTCGAGATTAAAATTTCTTTCAAAAGTAAATAATTCTTCATTAATTTTAGTTAACGAGATATAGTACGATTTTTTATGATCATACTGGTTTCGTTGATTGGTTAAATATCTATGAGCGATTACTGTATCAACTTGAAGTAAAGTATATATCATATGGAAAATTGTTGGATGTGGATATATTATGTGTGAGTTCAGTACCTTGTTAAATGATTCCACGCCATTATTCGAAAAAATCATATCCTTCACATTCATTTTATTTATTTCTTCGTATTTATATTTCCATGTGCGAAGGAAATAAGCGGCAAATTTTGAAGTATCTTTAATTAATTCTAACTTGGAACAGATAAGTTTAAAAACTGAATTAGGAACGAATGGGCACCCACATAATAATTTTAATAAAGATTTGGATGCATGATCATCTTGATTGCACAACTTCTTAAAGTTCTTTACAAGCGCAGCAATGTAATGAAATATGCATCCAGTAAGAACTGTCTCTTTGCTGATCTTTTCTTTGATAGAGTTCATCAAAGCTGCTTCAAAATCTGTTGTGATGATGGAAAATTGATTAAGTCCAATTTTAATCTGTTCATGTGTTAACATCATATTGAAAACAGTATTATAATCATCAGCACTTCTTCCCGTCATCAAAACATGTAGAAAAGGGAGATATAAATTTGTAGCATTATCAAATACCAAGAAATTCAATAATTGACCATTTGAGAGATTTATTAGTACCACTTTGAATGTACCATCTATGAACAAATGTTTTAAAGTTCGTGCACGATTAATGAATAAAGGCAATCCAAAAAAGTAAAACTTAGAATCATCAATATTGGAATAAATTTTTGTAATATAGAAATTTTGATTGTTATAATGTTCAAGTAATTTTTTAATCAACTCATCTTCGTTCATTTTCATTTTTGGTTTAATTTCCTGGTACAACCTTCTGATAACATCAGACGATATTTCAATAATAGCATCGTGAGATTCGTTATATTCCAACACAAGCTGATTTGCAAATGCTATTACCTGACTTAATGAAACAATAGGATTAACCTGAATGAAATTTTGTATCTCACTCTCAAGTTCTAATTTATTTTGGTTAGTACCATCAATAATTGACGATTTTGTATGTTTTGGACATCGATGTGGAGGATTAATTTCACAAACTTCAGCTTTTTTGCCTGTATTTGCTGGGAACAATGTAACAAGTTGAGAATAAGAACATCTTTTCTTTTTGGCGCAATAATAAACAATTTCCAATCGATCAATTTTTGAATAATATATTTGAAAGCGAATAGGGATCCCTTCTGGATATATAACACTTTGATATTTCAATTTATCTGAATCAGATATTTGAAAAGTATGATATGTTCTTAGAATGTTTTTTATTCTTATTTTACATTTGTCTTGCTCATCTTGATTCATGATAATATAATTAGGAACACATTGTTTGCATGTATCTTCTGTAATGGCAGCTTTTTGGACTTTTGATTTAGTTTTTTGATATTGAAATGCATTTTGAATTAGAATGTTTGAATTGAGTAGATCATCAATGGGAAGATTATCAGTAAAATGAGTAATGTTTGAAAGTAATGGCAATGGAACTGTACTATCTACAGTTGGAGGATTAGAAACAATCCTTTGTACGGAACTCTGATTTGCAGAAGTTGGAGGATTTGAAGGTATTCTAAAAATTGCCGTTCGATTAATTCTTTTAGAACAAGAAGGTGAAATTTGAACATTTCAATGAAGATTTATCAAATTTTGATTTCTTTCAATGGATTGTAAATTTCTTTCTTGATTTGTCAAATTTTGATTTCTTTCAATGGATTGTAAACTTCTTTCTTGATTTGTCAAATTTTGATTTCTTTCAATGGATTGTAAACTTATTTCTTGATTTCTATCTTTATTTTGTAATATATTATTACAACTTTCATTTTCAAACTCAAATTCATTAAATGGTTCTTCTTGTTCAGATTGTTTTTGACTGTTTTCCGACGAATGTTTTTCAATAAATTTTAATATTTGGCATTCCGTATTTTTCAATTCTGCCAATAATGATGGTGATTCATCAGAATATCCTAATGGCCATTTATCTTCCATTGATTTTGTATCACCATTATCATTATCAGCAACATCTATAGTAGCATCTTTACTTTCCGATTCCATTTTCTTACATTCTGTTCCATTTTCTTTGGATTCCTCCTCTTCTGACTCATCCTCCGATTTTTGATCAAAATTAAAGTTTAAAATTTTAATGCTGCTTGTAAATTACTTTTCGTTATAATAAGTGCTATTTTTGCAACATTTTTTCTCGAATCCCATTGATGTTAATGAATTATATTCTTGTGATTTACTAATTTTTAATTGATACATATCAAAAATGGCAAATTGAAAACATCTGTGGGTGGATCAACATTTACAACCTTTAAATCAATATCATTGAAACATTTAATTATATCAACTGAATGAAATTCCCTTCTTTTATATTTAATAACAAAAGAATATAAATTCAGATTGAATTTCCTTGCTATATAAAGGTAGAAACTTAAACAATGAACATCTTGGTTAGAATGAAGTAGAATTACATTCTTTTGATATCTAATTGTTAATTTCATAAAAAAGTAATTTTCAGATTTAAAAAAGTGAAAACCTTATTTATTAATAATTATTTAATTTGTTAATTAGAAAAAGAATTAATGAAAAATGATGTAATTAAAATAGTTAAAAGATGATGAAACGATGAATAACAATGAAATTAGAAATATTACGATGCGATAGTATTAATATAGAAAAATCGAGTATGAGACAAAAGAATTTTATAAATTAAATTTAATATATTGATAACAAGATATGGTCATCGTTGAGATTGATAATATAGGTAGTAATTATGAAAAAATATAAGAGATGGATAACAATTTTATAAGAAATTGACTTGATATTTAGAGATTCTTTTAAATCATACGGCAATCATAGTTTACTATGATTCAAAATAGATTTAAATGACAAATATATTATTATTAGATATGTAAACATGTCAGATATCTTTAATTTTAGTAATATTTTTTAATTTTCCTATAATAACTTATTTAATCATCTTCAATATTCTTCTTTCTTTTTTCTATTCATTATTCATTTATTTATTTGTTGTAAACGAAAACGATAAAAACGGTTTGACAGAAAAGTGACACTTTACATGGCAAAAAATAGAGCCTTACTTTTGAGATACTTGAGATTGAAACTGAATCTTATGAGGCGGTGATCTTGAATCACTACCTCATAAGGTTCAGTTTCATATAAAATTTGTTGCAATTTGTTATTCTTTTGCAATTATTTCTTATAAGATTTTACATCTTTTAGCGGGTAATGTTTTGTAATGCATGAAAAATAGCGTGACTTCATTTTTGACAGTTTACAAATGTAAAGTGTTGCATCCTTAAAAACTTGGAAATATATACATTCATGAATTATCTTGTATATTAATTGAAAATCCATAAAACCCTAACAATATTTTTTCTTAAAAAAACTATAAAAATATAAATAAAATTAATCGTTAAATAAAAATATTTGATATTAGAATTTTATTGGAAAAATAAAAAACTTAATATTTTAAAGAAATACTTAAATACTTGAATGTTTTAACTTTTACATTATCATATAGACTCTCAAATTATTAGCCATTTTGGCTGAGAACTATGGTCTGCGAGGTACATAGATAGAATCAGTACCTCGCAGACTATAGTTCTCTATATGGCGCCGAAAATTTTTGGTGAAATGTCGTCGCATTTCACCAAAATTTTTCGGCGCCATAGGAAGAATTGGAGGGTGTGAGATACTATTACATGCTATAGTACTCACACCCTCCAACTCCCAATCAAAATCGCATAAAATTTGCTACTTATCTTCAGATTACCTCCCATTATAAAATATATCATTGCTATCTCATCGTACTATACTTCCACCCTATTGTATTTAAAAATATAAAATTTTTTGATAATATATTTTTATATCTTGAATTTTCAAACAATATATTCACAGATAATATAATGGGAAATCTATCTCAACCTAGCCTTAAAGTACCAAACTCCTGCTTGCATTCTCACTCACAAATATTAAACATCCATCTCCAAAAAACTAAATTCTTCACAATTTTTTTTAAAATTGAGAACATAAAAAACGTATGCATTCAATAATTTAAGATACTAACAAATATTACAAACTTCAAAATAGCAGATATTAACGTTTTCCAATTAAAAAAATATCATTTTGCTTTTCAAATCGAACATAAATCTTAAATATTTTTAATTAATATCTGATTTACAGCATTATTATCCATTTATAAATCTGACAAATAAATGACAAAACCATCAGAAATAGTGTCACTTTTTGTCAAAAGTGAAGTCACACTATTTTTCATGCACAACATAGCTGGGTATGTTTGTTATCATGTATATATTATAAATATCTACACGATAACGAACATTCCTCGCTAAATTGCTGAGAAACTTTGAGGAAATGTCGAACAATTTCCTCAAAGTTTCTCAGATTTATATAGATCACTAGAGTCCCCTAGGCACTGATTCCGGTTCAGTACCTAGGAGGCTCTAGTTCTCTAACGAACTGATAAAATGTTTTTAAATTTTTGGATATTGCTACCTGTCAAGCACTGACTTCAAGTCAGTACCTCACAGGTAGCAATTACATTGAAAGATGGGAGAAACTTTGTCCGAATGTTAAACTATTCGGACAAAGTTTCTCCCATTTGTAGTGGAGATGGAAGGCTTTGAGGTATATTATATTAATGTATACCCCAAAGCCTTCCATCTCCACTTGAAAGTTCCAAAACTTTGGGTTAATAGTTTGCAATTAACCAAAGTTTTGGAACTTTCTAGAAGGAATTGCAGGGTAAGAGGTACATATTCATACTATGTACCTCTTACCCTCCAATTCCTTCCTTAACATAAACAAATTTGGAGTTAATTGTTTGCAATTAACTCCGGGTTTGTTGACCTCCAAATGAAAATGAAAGGGTAAGAGGTATATAGTGACCCTATATGCCTCTTACCCTTTCATTCTCATTAATTATGGGAGAAACTTTGGCCAAATGTTAAATTATTCGACCAAAGTTTCTCCCATTTTTTGAAGGGATTGGAGGCTATGAGATACTGATGCAATGTCAGTACCTCATGGCTTCCAATTCCATCCTGAAACTGATCAAAGTGGACCTTACATGCATTTGAAATTTGCCATGTAAAGTCCACTTTTTAAGAGAGAGGATTTGACTGCGTCAAATCCTCTTTTTCGTTTACGAGATGAACAATATTTTGTCGTCTTGATTTCAATATTTTCTCGATAAAAATTTGAAAATTTGATAATAATATGTGAGTTTTTCAAATCTTTTATAATACGTATCTCATACATATTGTTTTAAACATACCTTTAGGCGAAAGACATGAAGAAAAGCAATGCATAGAGATTTTGTTTCCATTAACGGACAAAAATAATTGTGTGTCATAATATGCGCAAATATGCGACAAAAAATAATCTCTACCATTTGCATAGAGCCTCAAGAAAATTAGTCGATATTGAATGGCTCAAAAAATCTGTTGATGAAGTTAATGCTGGTAAGAAACTGAAGGAAGTTTGTAAACAAGCCAAATTAAATAATGGAACTTACAGAGAAATTTCAAAATCAATGTTCAAAAAGTTGGCAAATGAACATAATTTGGAATTATGTTGTGCATGAAAAATAGTGTGACTTCACTTTTGACAAAAAGTGACACTATTTCTGATGGTTTTGTCATTTATTTGTCAGATTTATAAATGGATAATAATGCTGTAAATCAGATATTAATTAAAAATATTTAAGATTTATGTTCGATTTGAAAAGCAAAATGATATTTTTTTAATTGGAAAACGTTAATATCTGCTATTTTGAAGTTTGTAATATTTGTTAGTATCTTAAATTATTGAATGCATACGTTTTTTATGTTCTCAATTTTAAAAAAAATTGTGAAGAATTTAGTTTTTTGGAGATGGATGTTTAATATTTGTGAGTGAGAATGCAAGCAGGAGTTTGGTACTTTAAGGCTAGGTTGAGATAGATTTCCCATTATATTATCTGTGAATATATTGTTTGAAAATTCAAGATATAAAAATATATTATCAAAAAATTTTATATTTTTAAATACTGTTATATACGAAAACGATAAAAACGGTTTGACAGAAAAGTGACAACTTTACGTGTCAAAAATATAAAAAGTGATATTTTATTCATCATTATCTTCTTCATAATTTATTTCATATTCTTCGTCTTACCAACAAAAGATGGGAATGTGAACAATTGCGGGCAATTTTTTAGCCATTTTGGCTTGGAACTAGAGCCTGCGAGGTACATGGATAGTATCAGTACCTCACAGGCTCTAGTTCTCTATATGGCGCCGAGAAATTTTGGTGAAATGTGGTCGCATTTCACCAAAATTTTTTCGGCGCCATAGGATGAATTGGAGGGTGAGAGATATTATTTCATACAATACTACTCTCACCCTCCAATTCCAAGCCAAAATGGCTAAAAATTGCCCGCAATGTGAACAATTGCGGGCAATTTTTAGCCATTTTGGCTTGGAACTAGAGCCTGCGAGGTACATGGATAGTATCAGTACCTCACAGGCTCTAGTTCTCTATATGGCGCCGAGAAATTTTGGTGAAATGTGGTCGCATTTCACCAAAATTTTTTCGGCGCCATAGGATGAATTGGAGGGTGAGAGATATTATTTCATACAATACTACTCTCACCCTCCAATTCCCAGCCAAAATGGCTAAAAATTGCCCGCAATGTGAACAATTGCGGGCAATTTTTAGCCATTTTGGCTTGGAACTAGAGCCTGCGAGGTACATGGATAGTATCAGTACCTCACAGGCTCTAGTTCTCTATATGGCGCCGAGAAATTTTGGTGAAATGTGGTCGCATTTCACCAAAATTTTTTCGGCGCCATAGGATGAATTGGAGGGTGAGAGATATTATTTCATACAATACTACTCTCACCCTCCAATTCCAAGCCAAAATGGCTAAAAATTGCCCGCAATGTGAACAATTGCGGGCAATTTTTAGCCATTTTGGCTTGGAACTAGAGCCTGCGAGGTACATGGATAGTATCAGTACCTCACAG